CTGCCCGGCGGCCCCCGCGGGTGCCCGCTGTGCTCGGGGCCGGGCCGTGTTTGAGAATTGCCCGGCTCTGAGCCCCGCTGGAAGCCTGCCGGGGGCGGCAAGGCAGCGCCAGCCGCGCAGGACTTGCTCGGAGTTTGAACACGCCTTTCCTACGCGCGTTTTTACTTCTTAACTGATTCTAGCATCACTTGCCCTCTCTCGGTTCGTCTGTAATGCCATGCAAAATCTACAAACGGCTTGAAAACAAAGTGGGAAAACCTCTGCGGAGGCAAATAGGCGTTTCTTCCTTAGTCTAAATGTCAGTATTCAAGTACCACTGTAAGATCAGCTGAAGCAACAGTTGTTCACTTGTTTAGGGAGTTCAGTTACTTAACTCTGAAGAGTTGTTAATTATGTATGAACCAGGTGAAATAAACAAGACTGAGTTAATCATTGAGTGGAAACATCATAACCAGAGTCTTTGGGAGGCTTTAACAACAGGAATTTGCCTAAGAGAGTTAGACCACCAGATTTTAGTACCTACGTTTTGGACCATGGTGTTTTAGGCAGTCATTTCCCAGCTAAGCTCGTCGGCGGTGAGAGCTGGCAGCTGGTCTGGCCCTGGGGCTGTGTGGTCAGTCCGGAGGTGCAAGGGAGTGTGGGCACAGGGCTGCTCAGCAGCTGGACACTGAGCAGCCCTCTGCAAAATCACAGACGGAGGTGGGCTCCAAACTCCCATCTGTGTTCTAGTTCACCTCCCTGGCAAGTCTGCAGGGGCTGTTGAAGTTGTTTTATCTTTCAGCAGGAGGATCTTGTTCAAAAGTGTGCATTTACATATTAATTACTGCATTAGCATATGATGCTAATGTCAATTGCTATAGCTGATCCTTGTATTTTTCTTGAGTAGTAGGAAGTATTAGTCAATGATTAAAAAACCTTGGAATGGAATTTATAGTCTGTATCTATTTCTAGATGTCTCCTCATCATCTGCCTCCCTCAACAAAGGCTAAGAATTATTAAATAATTATTAAAAGAATGAAATAATCTTTCCTTATTTTTACAGTGAAGTGTATTGAGTGGCAATGAAATGGAAAACACAGAAGCCATTCAAATATCTCATTGCAGTTTCTGTGGGGAATTTTATTAGATGAATATCTGACAAAAATGCTTTGGAGATTTGTCCTCCTTTTATCTGTCTTCTGTGAAAGAGCAGAACATTATTTTACTTCCTGTGGTGATACACTGCCACATAAATTATTACTGCAGTGTCTCTCTCTGCTGGCATGCTCCTCACTGCTATGGAGTACTAAGCAGGCAAAGCAGATTGTCACAAAATCTCACCAGTTTGCAGCAAGAGGCACTTACTGGTGCACAGGTTTTGTGTAACTGGAGGTGTAGCTAAAAATCTCCATTGCATGGGGACATTAAAACACAAAGTTACATTACGTGAGAAATGGAGCTACTGCAATTGCTTTTCTAAGAAATTCTGATACCTCATTTCACATATGCATAATATTTGGGCAAAGCAGGAATATCTCGTGGCTGCAGAAGATCTGTGGCTACAGATGTTATGACGTGGGTGATAATGAAAATTGTTTAGGGAGCTGCAGTTCCTGCACTACACACAAGAGGGCTTCGGCAGCAAATTCCCGAGATGTACCTCTTTTTTAGGGATGCGCCTAAGTTGCGTTTCCTGTCTTCCTCACAGCCATGTGACCTAGGAGTTTGTTTAAATTTACCTCACATGCCAGACAACTTTACCAAGGTTTAACTGCTTGTTTGAAATGATGAATTGGGCCAGTTTAATCCACTGAGCAAGTACCAAGGAGTTGGCTGTGCTGGTTGCTTCAGGTATGTCCTTCCTGCAATCCCCTTTTGAATTCAGTGCCATGTGCTGACACTCCATGGGGTCTTTCTGGCAGATCAGGTAATACTGAGTAAGAGTCAGGACATTGTATGTCTTGTAGTCTCTCATCAGAGATAAATTGTGACTGGTCAGTGCTTTTTAAAATTCGTTGTAGGTTGTGACTCTTCAAAACTGGATGTGTACAAGTACGTGATGAAAATATTAAATCTGAGAAGGAGTAGCCAAACCTCAGATCAACCAGCAATAGTTACTAATTTCCAAGGGCAGTGAATCTGAAAATTGTAATAGTGTGTATTGTCTAACTGCTTTTCTCTTTTGAGCCACAGGGGAAGTAGTTGTGGTAAGTTTAAAACAAGAATAAACTCCAGAATCCCATTAGCTTTACTGGAAGGCTATGCAAAGCTTTACTGAATGGTAAAACTGCCTTTGAATTTAATTCTTCATTCAACAAAAAGAACAACAACAACAAAAACAGGAGAAAAAATGTGGTATTTCTTGGAAAAGGATTGTGAATGAAATTAGATATGTTGATTTTGCTTGTTGCCATGGCAGCAGTTAATTACAGTCATTGGTGCACACTTGCACTGCCTGGCTTTCCTACAGTCAGGTGGGGAAACTTTGTGGGAATCCCTGCCTTCTTCAGTTTACAAATAATCTGCTTCTACTAATGCAGCACCTCTTCACAAATACAGACAGGGCAGAGGTCATGAAATAAAGAAACACTGGGGAAAATGGAGGAATTCAGTGTGGTTCTGCTGCACCTGAACAGCACAGGTTCAGAACATTTGAGGAGGAACTGCCCTAGAGATGAATTTTACCCAGGAAAAGTCCTGGGAAGCAAAGCTGGTGATTCCCAGAGCACAATGCCCTCTGAATCATCCAGCACCCAGGTAACCCTGCAAGCAGAACAGCGAGGGTAAAAGTTACACAAGCTCTGCCATGCTCAGGCTGGAAGAGACTGATGCTTTTGCTGCATCACACTCTGGGGACTAATAATTGACTGCAACTATGAGAGCATATTCTGAATTATCTTTGTTGTTCTGAGCAGCAGATTGACTTTGGCAGATGCAACCAACGCCTAGTCTATGCAAAGCAAAGTGTTCCTTCTCCATAAAGCTAAGCCTAGATTAAAATTTTGAAACTTTAATGCTATAGATCCTAGTTTAACATTCAGAGATCTCAGGAAATTGAAACTCAAGAAATTGAGTCTCAAGAGAAAATGATTTGCACTACTGGCTTTTTCCTTTCATTATAAGCATTTCCCAGTGAATACATGAAATTGTTTTGTTAACTATGTTTTTAGTTTTCTGACTTTGCAGGAATTATTTGTTCCCTAGCATGGCATGGTGATGTGGAAATGAAACCTTTATGTAGAGTTGACTTACTCTTGATATAAATGTTTGTCATCAGCCTGGTCAAAAAAGGATCTGGCGTTAGTAGGCTCTAATTTAGGTTTACTGTGAAGTTAGTCTAGGCAGAGTCTACAAGGACCTGCACACATCTTGATGGCTGAAATAGATTATTTAATAAAGTTTCTAAAAATAAGCACACGTACAAACTTTTTGGGCCCCAAGATCAGAACAAAACCTCTCCAAGACAGAGTATCACTGATAAGCATCTCATTCCTGATTAACAGCTTGTATCCAACTGGGTTAAATGTTCCTCCAGTTTTATACCCTTTGCTTTCCCTTGGATTTAACTGGGAGATGACAGTGGCAGATCATTGCAGAGGAGTGATGATTCAGGAGTATGAGTGCCTCTGGTTCAGATTTATGAGAACTGATACAACCTCTAAGACATGGTATTTGTGGGGCTAATTTAAACTTTCAAGTAACACTGCAAATGTAGTTGGAAAAAAAGAGACAAACTTGGGATCCCAGTTAAGACTGTGCCCCAAGGCTTGCTCATTTTATCTCCCTGCATTAGTTAGTCTAACAAAACATTTCACTTTGCTTCATTAACTTTGTATCATCCAAACATTGCAATTACAAGGAGCTAGCAGCTGCCTGGTTTGTGGAACTACAGAGGCATTTTCACAGATTACAAATACAACTTGGAGATGTGAGAAATAGATGGCAAGAGCTCAGAATGATGCTGTGGCTGCTTAACAGTGTATTCCTGAATATAAAGACAATTATATTCCCAGCCATATACACCTTTCAGTAGTTTTGCAGAGCAAAATGTGGTCTGTAGTGCTGATGATTACTGTGTTTATTTAAACACTCTCTCTCAAGGAAAATGTTCCTTTTAACTGATCCTACTGCTGAAGCCCTACTGGTTCACGATAGCTTGTTGCCATGGATGGGTAATGATGTCACACATTCTGCCCAGTGTCCATGCCAGAAAATAAATGAGAATGACTTTTTTAATTACTCTGAGTTACTTAGCAATTCCCTGGAAGGCCTGAAGTGAATTACAAGGAAAAAAACAAGATGCCCCATTGACCCTACCTGCATAGTATCTTTATGCCAGTGAAGAGATGCAGTAAAAGACCAGAGTAAATTCTCTGCAGGTTTGAAAGCAAGGTTCTATTACTGAAACACACTTTGTTACTCAACAGATTTCAGCGGGCTGAAGATGAGCAGGAGGCTGGGTGAAGTATGGCTTTAGGGCTCACACATGAACATCTCAGTAACTGTAGTTTCTGGAGAGGGAGCTTGTGTCTTTCCCTCCATCGGTGACATTCTAACAGGAATATGATCCCGAGCAGGGTACAGACATCACTGCACCAGGCAGTAAATGCCACGCTACTGCCTTCTCTCACACCCCCTTTCAAATTAGGTTAGAACTGGCCTTTTGAGGTCGGCAGCTGGAAGGCACAGAACAAGAGAGAATCTCTTGTAACTATACCAGAAGGGCTGCCGGAGCACAAACCGTGTTTCTGCTCCCCAAACCTGGGCTTCTGCTTCCTCCTCCCCTCACAGACAGTGCTGTTTGGGATGCAGGAGCTTTCTCCCCTCCGAGGCGAGCCCATCCCGAGGCTGCCGGAGCGATGGGGATCCCCATGCCCTGTCCCTTTCCGCGAGCAGCGCTGGCACGCCCGGGGCTCCGCGCTCGCTCCGCACACGCCCGCGGGGGCTCTCCCGGGCTCGGGCTGGCGGCCGGGGTCTCTGCGCGGCCGCGGGGTGCCCGGTGGCGCGGCCGCGGCGGCACCATGAGGGTTAACTTGGGCGCGCTCTCCTTCTTCGTGGCCCTGGTGGGACTTTCGAGCTTCATCTTCCTCGTGGTGGCCATCGCCACCGACTTCTGGTACATCATCGATGCCTCCAAGCTGGAGGCGTCCCAGAACGGCACGGACGCGCTCAGCTCGCACTCGGGGCTCTGGCGGACCTGCCGCGGTGAGTGCGCGGGGCCGGCCCGGGGAGCGCAGCGCTGCGCTCCGCCGGCGGGCTCTGCGGGCAGGGCTGCGCGCTCCGGCCGGCTGCGGGTCAGGCTGCGGGGACGCAGCTGCGGGCGTCTCGGGTCGGGGTCCGTCTGCGGGGGTCCGCCGGTGGGGATGCGGGATGGGGATGCGGGGATGGGGATGCGGGATGGGCATGCGGGATGGGCATGCGGGATGGGTGATGCAGGGATGGAGATGCGGTGTCCGTCCGGCTGCAGGGTCCGGCTATGAGGATGCAGGATGGGGATGCGGGGATGGGGATGCAGGGATGGGGATGCGGGGTCCGGCTCGGGGGCAGCACCCGCTGCCCGCGGAGCTCCGGCTCCACGCCGTTCAAGGACGGGCGCTCCCCGGCCGTGCCCGGGACCCGTGGGCAGTGCCCTGTCAATACCTCCTCTGTCACTTGCGGAGGAGACATGGGGAGAGCGAATTTTCTGCTACTGTAACCTGATTTTACATTAACTTTTAATTCAAGATAATCTAATAAATGTTAACCATTTAGAAGGAAGGAGATGTCTTTTCATTTGGTTCAGGAAATTAAGGGGCGAAAGTTCTGGGTTAAAGCCATTAAAATTATAAATAATAATACAACAAATAAAAATATAAACACTATATAGTTTATTTACATAAACAATACAATTAATTTAAATATAAGTATTATTAGCTATCATCATATGGGATTATTGTAATCTTATAGATCAATATATAGGATTTCCCCCATGTAGTTAATTTATATGCTAGGCATTTAACTTTTGGCTTTGATTGCACTCTTAAAAGCCAGGAGCAAGTAAAGCCATAGGCAAGAAAGGATGTTGTTTCCAGAGGAGCAGGGAGAAGGAGCATGTTGCAGGAATTCTCTCCTTGCTGTGCACTGAGCCCCTCTGCAATGAGCAGATGTTTCCCTGTTGACTCCAGTGGTCAGACCCCATGGGAGCAGCTGATGCTGCGTGCTAAAAATCCTCTCATTTCCTTCCCTACCTAGGAGTGGCTGTTTTTAGAAGCAGCTAGTATTATATGAATTATATGTACATGCAAAACCCATATATATATATATAAAACCAGATATAATAGTGTAATTTCCCCCCTTTTTCTACTAGTGAGGAGTGAATGTTACCCTTTGATAAACCCCTTCTGGCATGAGAATGCGAACATCACCGATTCACACAGACAGCTTTTGTGTGAGTAGCGTTTATATTATTTTGTATTTCCATCCAGCTTTCCCTCCCTCCCTGGCCAATTACAAGGACTCATTTCTGATTCAGAGGGGGAATTCACTGAGAAAGTGTTTTCACTCTGCTTCTGTACAATATCTGTCACTGCCTGTGGTCTTTAAGTGTGTTTACTGTTGAAATAACCATCTATTTGGTGACAAGTTCAGCTAATTTCTTCCACAAGAGCTAAATCTCTGACTGGAGTGGCACAGGAAGGTACACAATTGCTAAAAATAAAAGGCAAAAGTGTTCACAGTCACCTCAAAGGAGTCTGATCACTGAAAATGCTTAAGAACACATTAAAACTAATCTTTAACACAGCTACTTTTCTAGCATTTCAGTGGGACTTCTGGCACTGATAAAAGACTTAAGTGTGGGAGAATTTAAGAAAATAAATCAATGACCAAAAGCAGTGTTCAAAGTCTTTGAAGAACATCGTGTTCAAAAACATTAGGCTTCTAATATATTTTCTTATTTTTCTTTAGATTCATTTGTCAATGTCAGAATGTTTTCAAAAAGTCCAAACGGAACATTTTCAAATACTTACAGGCATCTCCTAGAAGATGATGTTTTACCATCTTTGCATCATATATTTGGCCCAATCCTTTACTCACACACCCTCATGTGTGGGCTTGTTATTTACAATTTTTTTTATTTACTCACTTCTCCCTGACTCTGCAGAATACATGCATTTGTCCTGTTTCTTAAAATGGAACTCTTTCCCTCAAAACCAGCCATTCCCTGGGCTCCAGAGAGGCTTAAAGGGTCTTTATCCTCTCTTGGAGCAGCACCTGGTGGTCCAGCTGCAGACGCAGCACAGAGAGGAAGCCTGGGAGGTGCTGGGGCTGTGTCACAGCTGTCCTGGGAAGGTTCAGGAGGAGTCAGATCCCAGTCAGCTCCTGAAGCAGCCAAATAAACACATCAGGACTGACAGCCCAGCATGTAAACACATCCAGGACTTAGAGCCCAGCATGTCTGTCTGTGCTCTCAAATAGGAAGTGCCATTTCTTTGATCTCCTGGCTCAAAGCAGAGGGCTGTAGCTGCTCAGTGGCTCTGAAGTCAGTGGCAGTGATTGTCTGCTGGATCACTCCAGCCTTTCAGGGGTCAGCATTAACTGAACCTCCCCGCTCATGTTTTAAATGTCAGCACCTCCACTGGTATGCTGGTGATAGTCCAACATTTCAGGATGAACCCATTTGCTTTTCAAAAGTCCTGTGCACATTTGCAAAAGGTTATTTTTCTCAGGTGAGAGATTGCAGCTCTTCAGTTAAATAACAAAACAAAACCAAAAAGCAGTGCTCTTTGGTTATACAAATGATGTTGGCTTGGAAACAAAGGATGGCTCTTTGTGAGTCATGAAGTGTAAGAAAATATTGGATATGAATAAAAATTGTATTAATAATTATGTTTACAGACTCTTCAGGGCCTTGGAGAGTTTTTTTTATCTCACTTTCACATCAATTACTATTTTTATGTTCCTGGAAAAAGACTTCAGGTCTGCAAAGACACTTGCATATTTTATTATAAACAGGCCGTCTGCCTAAAAATGATGAGAGAAGAAATCAAAGATATTTCAATTGAAAGAACCTGCTATGTTTGATTGGAATGCCCCTCTTAGTTAACCTTTTGATTTTTTTTTTGCTCGGCTTCAGTGCAGCTTCAGTGTGGTGAGGCTACAGATCCTCAGCAGTAGCAGCTGAACTTAGAAAGTACCATGTCAGTACTTCTTCCTTCTAGAAAATACAGATATTTCTAAGTGACATCTAGATTCTTCAGGTCCTAAGACAGTACCTTCTACATCAGCTTTACTCTTCTTTCTTAAATGTTTCTGACTGTGGCCACTGAATCATATTTAGGCAGATCATGGCAAAACCTATTCATCTACAACACATTTTGACAAGAATTTTGGAGGGAAGTTCTATGATCATGGATTGCAATGTAGTTACAGCAGTTTCTTCATCTGCTGCTATATGTGGCAAACAAGCTAATTGCACAGCTTTAATTGGTTACTTCACAAAAATGACATTTTTCTCTCTGTGTGCCTGTGAAGGTGTCTGTGAGGCACAGTCACATGGGATTAATCTCATTCCATCTAGCTGTACACTTATATTTCTCACTATTTGCTTGGCACTGAACTTCATGAGCTCTGGCAACATCAAACCTGTTTCTTTCTGATTATTCCTAAAAAGACTTTAGAGAACTGTCTCCTAAAGTAGGCACTTAAGTCACACATTGGTCACATCCCTCATTCTCCAGAGTTTGAATGCACTTCCTGGCATGTATGAACCAGACACAAATGCCAAAGAGACTGGAGAAAGTCTCTGTGTGAGTGCAAAGAGCTGTGCCTACGTGGAAACAGAAGTGCTGGCCACTGCCAGAAGACAAACCCTTCATTAGAGAATGAAAAGCCTCCATGGTCCCTTCCTCCACATTTCCAATATCTCCCCTATTCATCCCAGCAGATTCCTTTTAACCTTATTGTGTACTTCAAATCGAGCTCCTGGCAAATTAAAATAATTGGGTGCACGAGTTAAAACCCTGTGCTAGCAGGAATATCACCCAGGCAATCAACCTAGGGCTTGCTGAGCCTGGGACTGTGATGTATTTCACATCCCAGGAGTGCTCTTGTGCTCCTCTAATGGACTGGACACAAACACACTCCTCCTCTTCATTAGCCTTCCCTTTCTTCTCTTACCACTCCCCCCAGCTGAACATGCAGTGTATACCCTCCCTCCCCTCAAACCCACCGTGGGTAAAATATTTCCCTCTTACAGATTACACTATGGCCTGGTTATTTATTTGTTTAAAACATCAGCCACTGTCTAAAGAAAAATACCACTCGACTGCCTACCACTAACTTTTCTGAAAGTTCTGCATTAATAAAATTATTTTTTGCTGGAGATGTACACTTTCCTCTGGCCCAAACAGGAATAGAATGAAACAATCACTTTCACTAATTTAGACAGTTATTAGAGTGTCTTGGTGACTACTAGGATTAAAGATAGCCCTCTGAAAATTCCCCTTAGAATTTAAATTTGTCAGCAAAGACACCTCTGATATTTTGCCTTGCCATGTGTTCTCCTGTGCCAGCTATGGCAGACAAGCAGCAAGACAGCATTTTTCATGGTGAGCTGAATCTATCTCTCTCTAAATGACAAAATAAAGATGTCACTGACTTCAAATGAAGCTGCATTGAGTTCTGAGCAGCTTTGCTATTTTCCAGTAGCAGAAATGTAACATCCAAAATCAGATCTTGATGTTGAGGATCACACAGAGACAGAGGGAAGCTCCTGAGTAGAAGGAATGGCAGTGCTTAATCAGCTGTAAACTTTTCCCCCAGAATTCAAGTTTTCTAAATGAATTTCTTAAAATAAAAACCCAAACAAGAAACCTATACTTGTTACACTGGTGAAAAGTTGCTCTTAGACATTTTTGTCATATAAATATTTTCCATTTACCAAAGCCTATGTTGTTAATAATAAATAAATGCCAGTACACATTTAGCTGAAGGCAGTACCAGTGTAATCCTTGCAAAATGAAAAATATAGTAAATGTTTCTATTCAAAACCAGACAATTTCTCTTAAATCTCAGCTTTGCACTTGAGCTGCTGCAGGGTCCCGCCAGCACTGCAGAGCTGGGGCTGGAGTTATAAAAAATAATGTGAGAGGAACTGCTGTTCTTTCTTACTGTCTGTGACACAAACCATCTACATTAGGTACCTGCAAAGTAAGATTAAGCCTCTGGCAATCCTGATTTTTTGTCAGATTTGAACAATATGGCCAGTGATTGGTCTCCTTTTACAGGTCCATTTTTAGTGCTCTCCTTTATTCCTGACCCATCTAGAAATGAGTATTTAATGGATGTGGTTTCCACTCATATTGTTTTTCCTGTTCTAAAATCAAGACTGGAGCGTGCAGCTGCCCATGCACAACTGCTTAAAGTATTCTCCCCAGAGTATTTTTATTTTTTCTTTTTTAGACACGAATGTAACTGGAACCATGAGGCTGCACTCAAGTTCGTGCTTCCTGCAGGGAAATGATCTTTGCAGCAGAGGCAGCTCTGATACCTCAGTTTTTTAATGTAACAGCTGCCTTGGTTTCTTCCTCAACAAAATGGGTTTAATAGTAGAGATAAACTTGTCTGGATTTCCTCACAGCATGTGGACCCTGTAACAGTCAGGCACCAGCTGCTTTCACACTTCACCCTGCTCCATATTTACTCAGTTGCACTTGGAAAGAATGCTCTATTCTTTGGCCACTGTGACATTTTTTCCTGAGGGATTTACAGTCCTTTGCAGATTTTCTTTTGGTTTGAAGCTACCAGAAGGAAAAGGCTGGGGCTGGAGCAAAAGCCATTTCAGAGGCCGATGAAATGAGACCCAAATGATGCTCACAGAAATTCTGGCTTGATTGGTCTGGTAGGTGTGTACCTGTTTCTGAGCAACAGTGCACTGTTCCTTCAGAGAGGTGCCAGTGGGCATCTGCTTCAGTACTCACTGTAGATATAACAGTAAATATATACAGAAAGCCAGATAACTTCAGCACCACTGCAGCTGAGGCCAAACCAGTGACGAGTTCTGATGAATATTCTTACTTTCAGATTCATTGGTACCACAGCAACAGAACGTGAGCCATGGTGCATTGCTCACATTCATCATTCTGCCCATTCCTGCTGCTGCAGTTTTTGTCAGTGCCACCTGCTCCAGGTCTAGCATAATTTTATTTCTGCTGTCTGCAATTGGTCTTCCTGTTCAGCTCAGAGATTTTTTGAGAAAAGCAGGAAGCCAAAACATGTAACACACAGACCAGAGCCTGGCTAATCATCCTGGAGACCCCTAACTCTGTGAGCAATCCTCCTCCATCACCTTTTCTCTGTTGAACAGGAGGGAATCCAGCCTTCCTGTCCCTGTGGCCTAAGCACAGAAGATTCTGGCCTAAGCACAGAAGATTAGCCACAGACAAGTTCTTTCAGTTGTTCACTGGTTTCCTAAGTTGTTTCCTTGCTTTTTTCCTAGCAAGCAGGTCAGATTTCTCTGTGCACTTTTCCTTCCTGGCCTTGCCAAGTCCTTCTGGAGCAGCCCCATTGGTTTAAACAACTGCCAGGAGTCTGCTTCAGCTGGAGGCTTTTGTCTTTCTGACTGCCTCTTTAGTTGCTGCTGGGTAAGACAAACAGGCCCTTAATTAAGCTCTTCTGAGCCACTGCCATTTGGAGTATTTCTGATGAGGTGATATTGCAGATTTCTAGGCACTATTTGCTATTATAAGCTGTGCAAACAAATCCAAAGTTAGTTTGAAGCAATTAAGCTGCAGGATGTTAACAGGAGATGATTAACAAAGCTGCTGGGCTTGCACTTGGTTATTTCTGACCTGCTCAGTGTTTTTATTTAATTCCACAGATTTCTCTCACAAACAACTCCTCAACAACTGTGTTGGGTGGTGATGTAGAGATGCCTGCCAAATCCTCAGTTCTGGACACACACAGATGTCATTCTTACAGATATTTGGCCAGAGCTCTAGTAAAAAGCTTTGGCTAGCTACTGTAAAACTTCAGTAACCACTATTAAGCAATTTGATTCTTTTTTGCTTCAAAAAAAAGTGAGTGTTTTTTAAAAGTCTATGAGTTTGTTTCAGTATTTCCAAGATTAAATCATTGGATCTTTCATGTTGGACTAACAGGGAACTCAGGTGTTGAGAAATAGAAGTGGGAAACTGAATTCTGTTTTACAAGAAAGTGCACATACCTCTTCCTGTGCAAAATGCTTAGGGTGGTTTTTTTCTTTCCCCAATATTAGAGCAATTTCATCAATATGAAGACAGTTATATGTTTTATATGTTTAATACATAATTCATAAATGTGTATTTCAACAGAAACTAAAAAACCCACTAAAATGACTGCAAAATGAATGTTCTAACTTCTTTCACAGATGATTATTGAAGACAGAAACACACTAAAGATATTTTAAGTCATTTTCTTCTATAAACTAATTCTGTTCCTCTAATCAAGGAATATAATGGCATAATATCATATGCCAGATGGCATGAATTCAGATTCCTGAGTGGTTTCCATGGTAGCATTTTAGAATAAGTTTCCCAGGCAGTTTCAGATTTCATTGTACAAATGAGTATTAGATATTGAACTAGAACACTGGAGATTATAAAAGTACTATTTAACCAAATAGAATTCACTAAATATTTGATTTTTAAAAAGCTGCCAATGATTAATGAGAAGTGTGATCCCAGCTGTGGGTAGGAAAAGCAAGGCTCTGTCACAGTGAGGTTTGTGGGTTTCAGCTATCCCTATACTCTATATTTTCACTGAAGAGGGCACAAAAATCAGAGTTATTCTGATATTGCAACTGTCACATGATTAATGTAATCTAGGAAACTCCCAGTGATGCTTTGGTGTGGTTTTCTTTTCCTTTTCCTTCACAAAGTTCCATTCAGAGTGTATTTTGCTCACCCACGTGTCCTGGCTCAGGTTGCAGTAGCTGAAATCACACCAAGACAAGAAAAGTCAAAGAAATGCCGAGTTAGTGCTGCTGTCCTGAGCTGGAGTTTGTGAGCAGGGACTTGGACTGGCAGGGGACACCTGGAAAATCACAAAGCAGAGAGCCAGCCATGAACTTGGTCATGTTTGCTCTCTCTCAGCAAGGCCAGCTCTGAGAGCAGAGTTGCACCATTCCTGCATTCATACTTTTCAAATGTCAATTCATCCTCCCAAGATTTTATCCTCCCAACCTTTTTCACCTTTTACTGCAAGACCAAAGCTAAAGTGACACATGGATGTCAGAATAATCAAAATGACACCAAATAACCCTCAGCAAGCTCAAATGTGGCTGAAGACCACGCTCCTGTGGCTGCTGCCCCTCTGGAATATGAGCACTGAATGGGTGCCCAGTCTCTGTTCTGCCACACTGTGTCTCAGCACACCCCAACCACTTCTAACCACACAAAACTCCTGAACTAAGTTCCGTGGCTATTTCTCACCTTGGAGCTCAGCTGAGATTTGCAGGCAGTTTTGACGTGCTGGTTTGTTCCCAGTGAGCTGGAGATGGATCTGGCTGTTAGCACTGGGAATTGCTTTAGGTCTGTGCTTGTTGGCCAGGAACAGCAGCCGTGGCCGGTTTTGCTGGAGGAAGGCCCAGGGAGTGTCCTCAGCTTTAGAATCAAAGAGGGGAAGTGCTCTCTTCGCTGCAGAATGTTGAATTCATGATTCCTGAGCATCAGCTGGTCCTGATGTCAGCATATGTGGGACTGAATATGAAAATATAATACCAGAAGCAGAAAAAAACCCCCAAAATATTGTCAACTCCCAAAACTTTTTTTTTTTTTTTTTTTTTTTTTTTTTTTTTTTTAGCATGTTCTATGCTACACAAAACAATGTCTGGAAACCACATTCTACTCAAGTACAAACATCAACAGTGTCTGCCTTGATGCCATGCAGACCCTTCCTAACCTTCCAGGCTTCTGGAATGAGCAGAGACATGCACACAATTGTGTCTGATCTTTGAAATGCTGCTGTACAGGATGAGCTGGATCCTTAGCCAGTGGCAGATGCAGCAGCTCCAATTCCATGGGCAGTTACAGTGACTTGCAAAAATTGATCATTTGATCACACACCAGCTGTGAGCTCTTAAATGATTACTTTTCCTAAGCTAATGGTGTATTGCTCCTCTGTGAAATTAAATGAGACAATGAAGCCTAGACCTCTTCAGCATCCATCCATTTATGGATTTTACATTTTCTTTTCTCACTTACTCTGCACTTTACTCTGGGATTAAACAAATTGATACTGGAATTACTTTTTTTTGATTATTCTAAAATAAGGTTGGGTTGAATGTTGTGGATAGATTACATCAGAGGGAACAATGGCACAATTATGGTTTATGATGGAAAAAACCAGGGTGATATGAAAAAATACATAGCAACCCTCTGTTTACACAGCTATTAAAATGTTATAGGGATCAAGAAAGAGTAATGTAAAACATTTAGCATGGGAGGAAGCAAGCAGGATAGGTTAATGCACTTAGTGAAGCTGCTGTAGAAAACAGTGACAGACAGAATCAGAGCTGGATGGGAAAATTTACCTCTAGTTGATGGTCAGCTGCAACAAAGGAAAAGGTCAACGATTTGCCACATCAGTGCAGCAGAGGACACATGACAGAAGAGAAACCTTAAATCAAAGCATGGCTGGATCTCACCTCCCAAGCAGAACAGTGTGGTTCACATAACAGGGCTACTTTCATTAGGGTTGCCAGTGCCTACCTGGGGTGCAGTGCATCACCTGACATCCAGCTGGCTCACGAGCTGAGGACAGTTTGATTGCTCATATATATCTGTGTATTCATATCCTCCATATCTGTGGTCTCTGTTTGAAACACAGGCTGGGATCCTGTGAGGGTTTGTTCTGCCTGCCACCTTTTCCTCCATACCATATGTTTGTCCTGCTGATTTACCCTGAAAACCCAAGGGCTTGTCCAATTTCTTGTTGGTGCTGCATAAAATGAGGCTTTGGTCCTGATCAGGGGCTCTGCACTTAATGATTACTGGTACATCTACTGACACCATAATAAAATATTACAATATTAACACTCTTCATTTTTCTTCAGACATGCATGGAACATTTGTCATCCTGATGCCCCTCAGCCTGATACTGATGATTTTTGGAGGAATGACTGGATTCATCAGTATTCTTGCCAGGGCCTACCTACTGCTCCTAATGACTGGACTGCTTTTCCTTTTTGGAGGTACTAAACCAAACTCCTGGCCTAACTGTTTTAGACAACAAGAGGCTGTACCTGGGAAACATCACTTTGTTTCCCAGGGATTAAAAGCAGGAATTTGCTTTCAGAACAGTGCTGGTGTTCATTCACCTGGTGCCTGCTGGGGTCCTGGTTCTGGAACAGAGCTACTGAGGACAGGCAAATATCCCTCTTGGAGAGCAAGCCACCCTTTGAACAGTCTGTGTGTGCTGTGCCCATTGACACTAAAGATTCAATAACTTCTCAGCACGGTGCACAAATTCTTTACAGACAGGCTAAAGGGGTGATGGAAAAGTGACCATGGAATTAGTAAATCGTAGGGATGCACAGATTTTGCAGCTATTCAGAAAACTGATGTTTTTAAAAAGGCATTTGCATTGAGTTCCTGAAAAGGGACTTTTTAGGCATTCCTGGCTTAGCCTCACTGCTAGTTTTGATCTAGAGTGGTGTCCCCAAACTGTGGGTCACAAAAGGAAACCCCCAGAAGTTATTTTAGTTGGAGTGTGACATTTCAATTTGAAGCTAGTAAAATGCTTTTACACTTCTTTTTATTTTTTTCTTTGCTGCTGCATCCAAACCCACTGTGTTTTAGAAAGTAATTTATGAATTAAAAAACATTCTGTCAAAGTAGGAAAACCTTGTTTAAATCTGCATCTTCTGCTCCAAACAGATTTTTAGTGCTGTTTCACAATGTAACTTAAAACAGAAATTTTTCCCGACAGAAAAGGGGATCCTCAGAATTGCCTCTCATCAACTGCTCATAAAGTCCTATGTTTAAGAAGAAAATGCTAAGAGATTGCTGGAAGCAAATGCTGCTGTCTCAAAGCCTTGACTGAACTTTTCAGTCTGAAATGCTCTAACACCGACCAACCATCCCCCATTATGATTGTCTCCTAAAAAGAAGAGCAAGTTCTAATTATCAGAGCAGCAGAAAGCTGTGTTCACTGAAAAGGCTGCTGGAAAACTGCTCCAGACAGTCAGTGAAAGATGAAAAGCTGTCAAGTGCCAAGCATGATTATCCCACTGGGGAGTGGAGCAGGGGCCTTTCTCAGCTCTTTGGGGCTGCCAGGAGGGAAAGGAAGCACAGAGGCTTCTGTAAGTCAGGAGAGGGGTGCCTGAGGAGGGTCTGGGCGTGCAGATGGTGCAGTGACCCAGGAGAACAGCAGCAGACTGTGGGGTGCCTTTGGCTCAGACCAGCCCCCCACCCTGCTCTGGCTGGGTGCACAGAACAGTTTTGGAGGACACTCAAATGCACAAAGTTGAGTCTTAGTTAGGTAGCTCTCTCTCAGCAGAAAGAGATATTTGGAGATGCCATTGCAGAAATGTGGGAGTTTTTTAAACCCTCAGGACTTATATGCTCCACATGTCAGGACATCCTATAGGTTTCCTTTTTTTTTTTTTTTTTTTTTTTTTTTCCAAGGGAAATTGCATTCAGTGCACCTTGTTGCAAATGTAAACAAATCAGTCTTTTCCATTTCTGCTGACAAAAGGTATGAAGCTATTTTTACCCCCTCCTTGCAGAGGACTAGAATAAGGTACAGGCATCAGATGATGGTTAAAATCAGGAATATGAGTATGCATTTGGACTGATGGATAACCCAATGCTCTTCTGTCTTGGTTTGCTTCTAATCAAACATATATTACTGACAAAAGGCAGCTCATCAGGACTTATTGTAATTTAACATAAAGCTATGCTAAAATTTTCTCTCTCAGAATCAAATCCACAATTTTGTCCTGAAAGTGTTTCAGTATTTACTTTCCCTGGGCTGCAGTCTTTTTATCCAGGGCCTTGTTACTGCCTCTTTTCTGCTGCTGATCCAGTGAACGGTGATTTCCATCATTCCTTCTTTGACTGACAGGGATGCCAGGCTCAGGATGCAGTGTGTACCTGTTCCAGATGTACCATTCCCTGCACTTGCCACCTTTTGAACAGTCTTTTCCTTCTGAAAACATCTGGCTCCTTGTTTGAGTGCCCTTATTAATTTATTTTTAGTCTGTCCCAAAGATGTCTTTGACTCAGGTATTGGAAGTGATGGATAGTCATGGCAGCACAACACTTGGTGGGAGATGATAGTGACAAAACAAATTTACATTAAACTCTCAGAACTGACAATAGTCAGGGAACAGCCTCAATTCAGTGACCTGAAAATCAAGAATCTGGGTCTCTGTGGGCTTTCTTGCATACAGGGAGACAACTGTCTGTGGTGCTCAGCAGTGAGGAATCAGGATACATTACAATGCAGCCCTGAAAGCAGAGATGCACATGCATTAGATATCTGTTAAATACAGGACTGGATGTTTATTGAGGGAGGCTTGCTGCCAGATGTTGTGATTCAGTCTTGAACAGTGAGAACACATTATTCTCAGCGGACACAAATAACCCTGCCTTTTCTTCCCTCTCACCCTCATTGCCCAAGAAACCAACCTCAGCTAGATTTCAAAGATAATCTGTAAATCTGGCCTGGCTAGAATAGGAAGGAGTGGGAAAGAGGCCCCAAGACATATCCAATTGATTGTTTGTAATTTCTTCAGTGGCTGCTAAGTAGCTGAACATGTTTCTCTTTTCAGCTCTTGTTACCCTTACAGGAATCAGTGTCTATATTGCATATTCAGCTGCTGCCTTCCAAGAAGCTGTTTGCCTCCTGAGGAGCAAGGACCTGCTGGTGGAAATCGATATCAGGTTTGGCTGGTCCCTGGCACTGGTCTGGATCTCCTTTGTGGCAGAAGTGCTCACTGGGGCCGTGTTCCTCCTGGCAGCAAGAGTGGTGGGTCTGAAGCGGCAGCGTGAGCAGGCTCTGTGAGCAGCAGGTGCCTTTGCAGCTAGAGCCCTGCAGAGCCTGACAATTCGCATTACTTGGTCCATCTGGTCACTAGGGGCAGTAAGAGTGCAAGGCCGAGTATCTTGTCAGCTGCTGTAAGCCTTTTTCCTCACAGGTGGCTGTAAAACACAAAGACTCTGGTAAATCAGTGAAACATTCCAGGTGTTGTCAATTAGGAAACCCTTGTGTCCTTAGAAGAGCGTGCATTGCAGTGTTTGTATTTCCAGAATAATTTCAGCTGGCAGCTCATCAGACATGTCCATTTGTTGCTTGGAACAAGGCAGATTTCTTGCTTTCTTTTCTGTTTTCCACTGTCTCAGCAAAGTGCCTCAGAGTACCTTGCAGGCCAGATTTTGGTTTCTCCTGAGAGCTCTTAGAAGGATGTGGACCTGTTGGAGTGAGTGCAGAGGAGGCTATGGAGATTCTCAGAGGACTCAGCCCCTCTGCTCTGGAGATGGACTGAGAGAGCTGGGGCTGTTCAGCCTGGAGAAGAAAAGGCTCTGGGGAGACCTTAAAGCCCCTCCCAGCACCCAAAGTGGCTCCAGGAGAGCTGGAGAGGGACTTTGGGCAGGGCGCTGGGGGTTGGAACTAATGATGTTTCACATCCTTTCCAAGGCAAACCATCCCAGGGTCCTGCAATCCAGCAGATGGTAGTGGTGTGATGCTGAAGGTCTCCAGGGAGTGCAGTGGAGAGTGCACTGCAAGAGAAAGACACAGCTGTTTTCCAGATGTTCTAACTGCTGGAGACAGCCCCAATTTCTCAATGATCAGCCTACATCCTTCTCTCCTTCAGCTTACTACTAGCTGCTTTTCCAGTTCTGCAATGCAGGAGATGTATCTGATGTATTTTTCAGTTTTTACTTTGCAGTTTTGATGATGCTTCTTTTTCATGAAGTTTGTGCACATGCTTTGTGCTAGAATGTTTATCTTGTGCTGAAACTGCTGAGTAAATTGAACGTGCAGGACACATGAATTTCATTTTGGGTGCCAAACAATCTAGTTTTTCCTCTTCAGTGCCCACTGAGGTTACTGAAGAAATTTTCCCCTGACTGTTGTGCTGAATAGAGTCTTGAATGTGATGAGAGCTCCACTCCATTTCTGTTAGATCACTTATTTCTGGAGGCCTCAGCACTCTGCAGTTCAGGACTGTGACTCAGGAGCTGTGTCAGGCACCCTCTGTTGCTGGGCAAGTCCCTTGTACATTCTCCAACAGCACAAGGGCATCATTCACCTACCTCTGTTAAACACCAGAACAATTTTATCAGTCTGTCCTGTGTTTAAGATTGCACATTCACTCTGACCAAGCTCAGCTCTAATCTTAGTCCCAAAGTACCAATTGTTTTATGAAAAAATAGTGGCAGAGAGCTCCTGAGAGCTGACAGATTTTGGAGATAGAAAGGAGCATTTTAATGCCTTGTTGTGAATGGAGAACTGAGCCAGGAAACTTGTCCAAGGTCACACAAAACCAGAGTTTCTGAATCCTGGGCTAAGACCTAACTTGTCAGATCCTGCTTGTTACCAGAATTGAATAAGGCTCAATATCCTGAATAGACTGAATAGAGCAGTAGAAATCCTGTGACTAACTAGTATAATTTGTATAATTTTGTAATTCTTAGTTGCTCCCACATTGGTTTCAGGTATTTTCCATGTTGCCTTACGTTGGGACCATGTAATTGAGTCATTTTACAACTTAAAGCATACCAAATCAGCTCTATAAGAAATGTAAGAAAAAAAATCCTTTGTAGTAAAAATTCCATGTGCTTAAGTGAATTATGTAAAATGTTTTGGTGCTGGTGAAACTATTTATAATGCAATTTGTATGATGTTACTCAGACATTACTGCAAGCTGTAACAATAAAATATCATCTGAGTTATTTTTTCAATATTTATTACAGATGTTATTTTAAAGTGGTTTTGAGTGTTGTAAAATTAAATAAAATGACATCTCAGAGTGGGAATTATTTGCCAAGACAAGAAAGAACTAAGATATTTATTTTTCTTTAACTTTTTCTGCAGATTTATTCTACTGTTTTTATAATGCTTTTGAAGTTCCTGTGTCAGATGTGGTAGGTATTTAAAAGATATTTACACAGCTACAATATAAAATACTCAAGTGATCAAATCTAATTAGCAAGCCAATGAATCTCTTATTGAATTAGAGCAATTCTCATTTCCATGGCTCTCCTAAATTTCTCATTCTGGCTTCCTGCAATATCTGGCACAATGATAATAAAGAGTATCTTCTGCTCCTGAATGTTTGCATAACCACTGAATTTCTCTGAAATTCCTTCTGAATACAAAGAACAAAAGATGGCTTGGGATAGTCAAATTAGCATTGAACATTTTGAAAAATTATACGGGGAAGAGGAAACATTCTAGAAAGGACTTTATGTAATTTGAAAGAAATGACCTTATCAGCTTCTTCCTCTTACTGAAATGAATGTTTATTTAATACCATGTCCTTTGCTGTGTTTTCCCCAAAATCCTTTACTGAGATGAGGAGAGAGAGCTCCCATTGCTTTCTGGTGAATTGGTACTCGTTGGTAATTCGCCACATCGAAAGTGAAGAGAAGCAGGTGCACAGAGCAGAGCAGCCCTGCCTGAGAGTGCCCACAGCACAGGCACCCCTTTCAGGACTTCTTGAGGGCTGCCACAGAAGGACAGGGAGGCCAGAAGAATCCTTGAATGTGAAAAACATGGAAATATGCAAGATGTTTAGAGGCCATGCCGGTGAATGGCACCACAAGAATTCGGTGTGTGTCTGTGCTGCTCCTGCAGAGCAGTCTGTGTCCCCAGCCCTGATGGCCAGGGGGACAGCACTGCTTTGGACACAGCTTCAGGCAAAGGAGCCCCAGGGATTTGTCACCCACAGCCAATGGCTCCCGTGGGGATGGCAGGTGCCTGCCACAGTCACTCTGTCACACCCTGCTCAGCTGGACAGGGGACACAAACCCTGCTCAGTTTGGGACAAGAAAAGGGCAGGGAGAGGTCACTTGCCAATTACTGTCATGGCAGAACAGACTCAGCCTGAGGAAATTAGTTTAATTTATTAGCAATCAGGGTAGGAGAAAGAGAAATAAACACAAATCTTAAAAACACCTTCTACCCACCCCTCCCTTCTTTCCAGGCTTAACTTTACACAGTTCTCTGCCTCCCGAATAGCACAGTGGGACAAAGACTGGGGGTTCAGTCTGCTCATCACACATTGCTTTGAAGCATCTTCCTCCTCAGGGGGTGGACTCCTCACACGCTGCCCCTGCTCCAGCATGGGGGCCCTCCCTCCCAAAGGACCCACTCTTCCAAGAACTCCTCCAGAGAGTTCTTCCCCTGGGCTGCAGTTCTTCACAAACTGCTCCAGGGCGAGGCCCTTCCAGAGGCTGCAGGAACACCCTGCCCCAGCGTGGGCTCCCTGCTGGCTCACAAACCCTGCCAGGACCCTGCTCCAGCACAGGCTCCTCTCTCTGTGGGTCTTGCCAGGACCCCGCTCCATCGTGGGCATCCCAGGAGATCCCAGCCCCTTTGGGCACGCACCCCCTCCAGTTTGGGGCTCTCCAGGTGGATCTCTGCATCCTGGGGCACCTCCCTGGGCGCAGCAGGGGAATCTGAGCTCTGCCCCTGGAGCAGCTCCTGTCCTGCCCTGGGCTCTGCAGAGCTGTTCCTCTCACAGCTCTCGCTCCTCTCTCAGGCTGCAATTTGTCCTTGCACAGCTGCTCTTCACCCGTCCCAAATCTGCCATCCCAGAGGCGCTGCCCTGCCCTGACACGCTCGGCCTTGGCCACGGTGGCTCTGTCCTGGAGCTGCTGGCCTTGGCTCTTTTTTGCAAATGAAATTCAATGGTCTCAACTATTAAAGTGGAAAAAAAAAAAACCTGAAGAAATTTGAGCCTGCTTTCTAAATAAAGATGTCCTTTTCTCTGGTTCCTCTTGTAAATTCCTTGCAGTGAAGCACTGCCTAGTTAACCAAAATATATTGATTAAAAAACCCCATATCCCTGTGCCTCCTAACTGTCAATCCCAAATTAGCAGACTTAATTGCCTCATCTCAGGATGAAAAAGGTTAGAATAAATGCCCTGGCTTTGTGTTAGAGAGTCAAACTCCCCCTGGTTTGATATAACCGTGGTCATGAGAGATTCCCTGGTGCTTCTAAGTGGGCACAGCTGTTGGCCCAGAAACAATGAGCACACAGGAATTTGGTCAGGTGTTCTTAAAGGCCAGCTAAAACTACTTGGAAGGCTGGGTTCTGCCCAGAGTTTGAGCTATCCCTGGTTTAGGTCACGGGTCTTTAATTACTGGATTGCTGTTCTAGTTAAATTGCAAAAATTACTCTTTTTCCTGTTACTAAAGCGTTGTAGTGCTGTTTTACTGCAGTAGCTTCCTCTGCTTTACACATCAGCTTTAACCCTAATTAAACCCTCAAACCTTGCCCTCCCTTTTTGCCAGCATTTGCAGCAGCCCTGTCCCTGTCATACGCAGTTTGGGATGCTCACAGTTTATCCCGCGGGGTCAATCCCACTTTGTGCTGGCACCGGGCACCGTGAGTACTCTCAGCTGAGTTTTTCTCTCCGGGAAGCTTGCACAGAAGCAGCGGTCTGTGCTGACATCTCATGGCTGCTCTGGGAACTCGGCTGTGTTTGGGAAGAACCCGTTCACTGCTGTGCTGCCAGACGGGCCCCTGGGTTGGGAAAGGCTCTGGGGCTTCAAGATCTTAAAGGTCTTCTCCAACCTATTCTGTCATTCTGTACTAATTTTTGTGTGGTTGGAAGATCAGGGCAGGCTGTCATGCTCACTACAGCCTTGTTGCTGGAGTTGAAGTTGCTCCTTGCCACCTGCAGGTAAAATGTCAGGTGTTGGAAAATGTGCTGATAGCCATCATCTTTTTAAAACAAAATAAACACAAAACATTCTTAAAGGTTTTTATGCTGCTGTTCTTAGGAGATACAGCCATTCCAGCGATGGTTATGTTTTGATTTCGGTCAACCAGC